TATGTATGTTGCCTCTTCTGATAGAATGTGAACTCCTAGAGAGCAGGGATGCTTTTATTTTATATTCCCAGTACCTAGCATAGTTCCTGACACATTTTTGTTGTTTAGTCATGTTTCAGTTGGGTCTGACTGTTCATGACCCCATTTGGGGTTTTCTTGGCAAGATAAATGGAATGGTTTGCCATTTACTTCTTCAGCTCATTTTACAGATGAGGAAACTGAGGCAAACAGGGGTAAGTGACTTGCCCAGGATCACACAGCTAGAATTGTCTGAATTGCCCAGAAACAAGAAGTGGAGATCAGAACAGAAGCATTTGTCATGCATGACACCAAGACAGGATACCTGCTTCTATAAAATATATTAAATTGTTCTTATCCACTGGGAGTGTGATTAAGTATTGAGCCCCTTCAAGAAGCTGCTGCTAATTCTCCAAGCCTACCTTAGTTAGTTGCTAAAAATACCATTTCCATTATAGTTGTTTCTTTGCCTAGAGGTTTACTGGCATGAGTCATAGGTAGTTGGCAGTCACATGGTTTTTAAATCTAAGACCTCCTCTTCTCTTACAGTTCTTTGCATCATAAGTGTTACAAAGGTTATTCCTGATGCACCATCTCTTTTTAAAAGAGTATGCTGAGGGCTAGAAGGCCATGACAAAGAGGCCAACATAAGTGCCTTCTTCTAGGCCTGAAAGATCCCTTATTTTTGTCCCAATTAAAATATCATCCCATTTTAGGAAAGTTGAGTCATAGGTACCGATATCTACCAGGACATCCACTTCCCCAACATGAGTTAGGCTAGATTTTCCCTAAAAGGTAACAAAGCTGGAATTTGTTTGACCTATGGGTGGGACAAGGATTAAGCTGTGCCACACTTGATGCAGCTTTCTGGTGTCCTCTGGCTGTACTGATGGGAATTTTTGGTCATCTGGGGCACAAAGGGGCCATCTACATCGGGTGGCACCCTTTAGAATTGGTGTTTGCCTAAAGATATGTCACCATATCCTGCCCTGATGAACAGACTAGTTTCTGGGATGCCTAGCTAAGTCCTAACTATATTCAGGTTGTATCTCCTTACTATGTTAAGGAAAAATAAACTTCTTTTTGTTAACTATTCAATGACCTCTGAATCTCTCATTTCATTCCAACATCAAACCTGAACTAATAGAGTGCTGGCTGATCAGCATAAAAGCCCTGATCTGCTCCATTTCCAATTTGGTCTTATTTGCTCCACCTTTTTGCAACGTGGAGGGACCCTCTCCACCCTTAGGGGCTTATAAAATTAATGCCTAACTTAGTATATTATTAGCTTAGCTTATTACTGCTCAGACTCACCCCCTCAAGCCCAAGAGATGCTCCAGCCTCAACCTCCCCAGTAGCTGAGATTTCAGGTGTGCCCCATCACTCCTGATGCATTTCTTCAATAAGAAAGGAAAGATATCCTCAAGTACTTAAAGGCATATTCTGTAAGAGGAAAAAAACTTAAGACCATACAATCACAAATTTAAAGCTGGGTCATCTGTTCCCACCGCCCCTTTTACAGATGAGGAAACTGAAGCCCAATACTGTGATCAGATTGACATTTCTCATACACAGGAGACAATTTAAAAAATATCATCAAAATCTGCAAAGACAAACTAATCTAGAGAGTCATAAAGCAATGTAAATAAAATGATGGCAAGTTTCTAGGAAGTTTGGCAGGTTAGGGAAGGCAGTAGTCAGAAGCAAAATACTGTTACAACAAGAACAATGCTATTTACATAATACTTTCAGGTTTGTAAAGTGCTTTACAGTTATTATCTCATTTTATCCTCACAATAACCCTAAGATGTAGGTGCTATTATTATCTCCACTTTACAGATGAGGAAACAGAAGAAGAAACAGGCTAAGTGACCAAGGTCATACAGATAGTAAGTATCTGAGGTGGAATTTGAACTGTACGCATAGGAGCTTTGCCAGCGTTGCTAAGCCTTGTGATTACACCACCATATGTAAAGCAAAATTTGTATTGTGTTTGTGTTCCATGCTTCTGAAGCACAGTACGTGGGGCCTCTGACTTAGGTCCCAGTTACATCATAAATAAAGCTTAGCTTTCTTTTTCTTTCTATATTTGATTTCTGGTTTTTCTCGAAAAAAACAAAAGCTCCTTAGGGCCCAAAATGGATCACTTGGATATACCATGTGAACACCATTAAATCTTATGCTCCCATGTGTACTTTTTTTTTTAATTTTTTGGGCAATGGGGGTTAAGTGGCTTGGCTCAGGGTCACACAGCTGGTTAAGTGTCGAGTGTTTGGTCTGAGGCCAGATTTGAACTCAGGTCCTCCTGACTTCAGGGCTGGTGCTCTAGCCACTGCACCACCTAGCTGCCCCTGTAACTGAGGTAGATGGATCCTTTAGGACTGCTCTGGCCAGGACATACCAGCACTAAAGACAGTTCTGCTCCTTCCTTAAACTAGGAATATGGGTCCCTGATGCTTATCTCCCGGGTCTATAGTCCTAGAAGTGCTCTATACAATGTTGGACCTAAAAGGTTCTTACTCAAGGCTATATCATTTCAAATACTGTCCCTGTTTGTGCTAAATGAAGCAGCTGCTTTTTCTTGAAGCCAAGAAAATCCTTGGAGCAATTAATTTGATTTGTTCAGGGAGAGAAAGACCCTGAATACTCTCTTCCTGCAGCCTGACAGGGAGGGAAACAGAACAATCAGATGCAAGCACAGCTTTGCCTGTTGAAAAGGAAACTCCTGCCAGGGAAGGGATTTCGGGCACACTTGCTGCTGAGAACCTGAATAATTCTGATTTTGGGGATTCGTGGTGCCCTGTAATTGAAATTAAATGGCACCAGATTCATATCCTTACCACTCGGATTCCCACAGAGTGCCACAGGCTATACATACTGGGGCCTCAGTGACCATGCCAAAGCTCAGACTATTTCAGGGAGGACAGATCAGAACCATCCACTATGCTCTTGTACCCTTCCTCAGGGAACTTTCTACGCCTGCAGGTATTTAGACAGTGATTTATACTCTTGTCTAAACTCCTGGGCATCAGTGAACAGAAGGCAGCTGTTTTGTTTATCAGCTGGGTTATGTTGGGTAATTAGGAAGCTGCCACACATGAACAGTTTGCCATTCAGCAGATTTTGCAGCTACATACCCAGAATCAGGGACATCATTTAATTACAGGCATAAAGCTTTTATTCGCAAGAAGTGAATTACAAGAAAATTGCTTCAATGTCTTCAGAAGCAGCTATGGCACTCACTGCAACCAGTCCAGCTAGAAATTGAAGACCAACTGTGATGCTTGGGCCAGGAGGTAAGGGTAACTGACCCATATGTTGTGCTTTCTGTGTATAGAGCGACCAAGATGCACAATGTATCATGAAGCGTTCAGGAGACAATCCACTAATTAACCAGCATTTATTAAGCACCTACTATGTGCCAGATACCACGACAGGCACTGAAGATTATAAGGCAAAGTGAAATAATTTCTGATCTCACAAGGAGAAAGAACAAACCATAGGGCAAAGTTCAACACCTTATGACATGCATACTAAGATGTCTTGTAAATCTTTTGTCTTCCTTGCCTTCCTCCCTGCCACCTGAGAGGATCATCTTCTTATTCAAAAGTTAACACCATAATCACCCTTCCCCTATCAGATTGGCTAATATGACAGAAAAGGAAAATGATAAATGTTGGAAGGAATGGGAGGAAATTGAAACACTAGTGTACTGTTGGTGGAACTGTGAACTGATTCAACCATTCTGGAAAGCAATTTGGAACTATACCCAAAGAGCTATAAACTGTACACACCCTTTGACCCAGCAATACCACTACTAGGTCTGTGTCCCAAAGAGATAAAAATAAGAAGGAAAAGGATCTATACATACAAAATATTTATTTCAGCTCTTTTAGTAGTGGCAAAGAATTAGAAATCGAGGGGATGTCATCAATTGGGGAATGGCTGAACAATGGTATACGACTGTAGTAGAATACTATAGTGCTATTATAAGAAATTATGAGCAGGATGCTCTAGGAGAAACCTGGAAAGACTTACATAAACTGACACAAAGTGAGGTGATCAGAACCAAGAGAACAGTGTGCATAATGACAGCAAAATTGTGCAATGATTGGCTGTGAGTGGCTTAGCTATTCTCAGCCATGGGATGATCCAGGGCAATTCCAGAGGACTTGTGATAGAGAATGCCATCCATCTCCAGAGAGGAAACTGATGGAATCTGAGTGCAGACCAAAGCATGCTTTTTAAAACTTTGTTTTTCTTTTTTTTTGGGGGGGGGTCTGTTTTCTTTTGCAACATGACTGATAAGAAAATATTTTGCATAACTGCACACAGATAGCCTGTATCAAATAAATTGCTTGCCTTCTCAATGAGGGCAGAGGAAGGATGGAGAGAATTTGGAACTCAAGATTTTGAAAAATGAATATTAAAGATTATTATTGTATGTAATTAGGGGGAAATAAGTATTAAATAATTGAATTGTAAACAAAAAATTAAATTCAATTAAAAAGTTAACACCATAACCAGAGGTGTGCTGGAGCCAGCTCTAACTAGCTTGCAAGCCATTGTTAAATGTTTGGTGTAGCATTCACACCTCAAAAATCAACAAACTGCTACAAGTCAGGGCTTGATTACTGTTCTATTGCTCATCTGACTTAATGAAGTGTTATTAATGCAGACAAAACTTTAAAGTGTGTATATATACATACACACATATGTATGTATATACGCATGTATGTATGTATATTTCTCCCCAGGTGAGCCCTCTTGTTAAACATTTTCCATCACAGCCGTGACTATAATCCTCCATTCCCCACTGGCGATAGAATTAGCAGCTGGCAATTTAGCCCTTAAACTTCTAAGACATCATCCAGAGTTCACCATCAGCCCTCCTCTAGACCAGAAGCATACCCAAAGAAAGGGGATCAGGACCTTGGCCCATCACTTTCAAAAGGTTGTCAACTCCACAAGTGAAGACTTACAGGATTCTGTACAGAGATGAAGTTGTTCAGAAGGAGCAGATTCGTCCACCACATCCTCCTGCAGTTATCCAGATGGTATATGGGAATCTCCCAGAAAGCTCCCCAGGGAACAAGGGAATACAATCCAACTAGCAAACATACTGAATACAAGTGGAGAGGCTGCAACCTGGCAAGAGATCCAGGAGAGTGTAAATGTAATTTAGCGATGATCCATTTGATCCTCCACACGAGTTTTTCTGCTTGGTTTGGTTTGGACAGAGAGGTGGGCAGATCACCACCCTCTTCTCCCAGCTGTCTCATTCCCATGACTTGGATTACTGAGGTGATGAGAAGACAGCCCACAGGCGGAGTGGCAAAAATGCTGAATTTAGGGTCAAAGGTCTGTTCCTGTTCCTGTTCCTCTTCTTCCTAGCTATGTGACCTCAGACAAGTCACTGACTTTCTATGAGTCTGTTTCCTTAGTTGTAAAATGGAGATAATAAAATATAGACTGCCTACATCAAAGGACCATGGTGAGGAAGGAGTGCAAATGTTTTTAAACTCCTTTGTAAAACAGAAACCACTAAGGCCCAGGGAGGTGAAATTATTTGTCCCAAGTTCAGACAGAGCTAGAATTCCTAACCAGATATTCTTACTTGAAGTCATACACCTTCCAACATAACATGCTGCCATCTTACCCACAGCAGATGTAAAGCACATGGGGCAACTCCTGTTACAACTCATTTGAAGGAACCATCCCAATTCTTTGTTGCCTGAAAATTTGGTGATATGGAACACTGCTTGAAATAACAGATATCTGCTAGGTGTAGTGGTATAATCCCTGAGGTCCCTGCTACTGGCGATGTTGAGGCTGGTGGATCTCACACTTGGGAGTTCTGAGCTGCAATGAGCTCAGGAGATCAGGTGTCCAAACTATTGATGTTAATATGGTGAGCTTGGGAGCCGGGGATTACCAGGTTACCTGAGGAGGGAAAACTGGCATATGTTGGAAACAAAGTCAAAGCTCCCATGCTGATCCATGTGACCAGGTGACCAGGCCAATAAATAGCCTCTACCCTTATAGCCTGACTAAGATAAAGAGACCCCATGGTGAAAATAGAGGACAGGAAGGGAAGACTGGGGAGAGAAACCAAGACTTCTCTGAGAAATCTGTAGAAATTCTTACAACATTACTATAACTAGTCTTGACTCCTATTCAGCATCAGAAACCAAGTTGCAAAGAACAAAGTATCTTTTTTTATCTGGCTTTCCTTTTCATTGAGAAACCTTCCAGTAAAAGAAACTCCTTTATCTATTCAACAGATATTTTCTAAGTATCCACTATATATACAAGGCCCAGAGAAACATGATGCCTACTATATGAAAATATAAATTAGTCCTATATTATTACAGAGCAATGATAAAATGAAAATATATGAATAAACATGCCTTGCGAGTTGATTGAAAAGGTATCTCAGTATGACTTCGGGGGTTATTCCTTTTTCAGAATTCCGGTACAGCTCTAAAAATGACCTTGCACTTAAATAACCACTGAAAGAGAATGATAATTCAATTATCAAATGAGATTTACTTATTAAAAATACTACTGATGAAAAGAAATACCTCCCCTTTAATATTGTACCATATAGCTTTCAAAGTTCTTGCAATACATGATCCCAATTGATCTCCTCAACTGTAGGCTTGAACTATCACCCCCTTTTTACAGATGAGGAAACTGATACACGGTGAATTGAAGTAACATGCACAAGATAACATGAGTAAAATGCTTAACCCCAAATGATTTGGTGACAAAGCTCATTAGCTACATTTTACAAATAGAGAAACTGAGGTTTTGCTTTTAAGGTCAGCTCTTTTTTTTTCTTTTAGGTGGGACAGAGGGTTCAGATCTGTGAGTTCATCATTAAAGGGAACACTTATTGTGGAAACTCCCTCCATCAGTGAATATCAAAGACTCATCTATAGTATAGGCTTAAAGAGTTGTGCAAGGCACTGAGAGAGCTATAAAGTTAGCTAATAATTCAGGAGTAAAAGGAAAGAACTGAACCCAAATCTCCTGACTTGCAAGTCTAGTATTCCTAGCCAGAAGTCCTTACTGATAGGCAGCTAGGTGATACAGTGGATAGAGTGCTGGGTCTGGGGACAGGAAGACCTGAGATCAAATCCAGCATCAGATACTTACTAGCTGTGTGACCCTGGTCAAGTCACTTAACCCTGTTTGCCTCAGTTTCTTCATCTATAAAATTAGCTGTAGAAGGAAATGGCAAACCACTCTAGTATCTTTTCCAAGAAAACTCAAAAAATGGGGTCATGAAGAGGTGGACACAACTGAAAAAAAAAAAAACTGAAAGTCCTTACTGATTGTTTGATTAATGACTCAATATGTCTCACCCTGCAGAAAAAGGATGAAAGTGTCAGTGACAGGATATAAGGTGAGATTTCTAAGGAAGTCTTTCATTCTGTTCCTACTGTATTTTCCTGTGAAATCAGGTAGGATGATTCACGCTAGAAATTAAAATTATGTGGCCATCAAAGGAGATGTACCCAAAATCAGAAGTAGAACAACCAGTTCCAATTTCACTCCCTTCTTCATTTCAAGGTAGAATGAAGTTCCAGAGATCTTTAGCCTTGCTGTGGAAATTTAAATATCTTATACCAGCACCTGGTTTGATGTAAGGAGGGTGTGTGTTATTGTTTTCACAAGGGTGAAGGTAGGAACCACAGAGAGAACCAAACACAAGAAAAGGGAATCAGAAGAGTATAAACGATCAGAAAGGACAGAAAGACAGATAAACTTGTGAAACTGAGTCTTCCTCCTCCGAAAGGGTGAACAGAGGTCTATAAAGATCAACAGGAGGAGCATGGCACAACAGAAAGAGCCCTGACTGGTTGTTCTAAGACCTGTGTTTGTGCCCCAGCTCTAATATGTAATAGCTAAGTGACTGTGAGCAAGTAAGTTCCAGCCACTCAGTTTTCTGTAACTTGGGATGATTATATTTGCATTAGCTACTTCTCAGGGCTGTTGGGAGGATCTAACGAGATAATGTATATGAATGTTTTGTGTGCCTATAAATGGGAGCTGTCATTATTGTACAAGCTCTTATTATCTAACCTGAGAAAGTTACTTACCTCAATCATAAGTTAATAAGTAGAAATCATCTTTGTTCAAAAGGCAGTTTTATGGAGGTGGCCAAGCTCATTTGATACAAAAGCAGAAATGAAAGAAAATGTTTGTACAGATCAAAGAGAGAGGCAAGTGGGCTCAAGCTTGCTCTTGGGGCTCTCAGGAGCCCATTGTTAAATTTTCAGCATGAGAATTTACACTTGGGAAATTGGCAAGTGCTGCAGATTTGGTGCTTGGTTTGTTGTTTTATTGATAATCTAGACTCAAGTCAGTGAAAGAGAATACATTAATAATAGTACAGAATACTTAAAAGGACATAGTGTGTACTTTTTTTTCAGAAAGACAGTTGTTCAACATTTACCAGCACACTCCTGCAAAATATCCATGGGTACAAAAATTTATAGCAGCTCTTTCGTGATAGCAAATGACTAAACCTAAGGGAGTTTGCCTATCAATAAAGGAGTGGCTGAACAAAATGTGGTATATGAGTGTGAGAGAATATTATTTTGGTGTGAGAAATGACAAAAGAGTTGGTCTCAGAAAAACCTAGAAAGATTTGTATGCATTGATGTGGAAGGAAGTGAGTAGAACCAGGAGAAGAACTTGCACAATAATGACAACTTTGAAAGAATTAAGAATTAGGGGCAGCTAGGTGGCACAGTGGCTAAAGCACCGGCCCTGAAGTCAGGAGGACCTGAGTTCAAATGCGGCCTCAGACACTTGACACTTACTAGCTGCATGACCCTAGGCAACCCCAATTGCCTAAACAAAAAAAAAAAGAGTTAAGAATTCTGATCAATGCAGTGACCAACTACAAAATGATTCCTAAGGACTCAAGATGAAACATGCTTTCCATTTCCAAATAGAGAATGGATGAACTCAGGGTAAAGAATGAAACATAAATTTTTTGGATATGGACAATGGGGGTATTTGTTTTGCTTGATTATGTATATTTGTTATGAGGGTTTTGTTTTTCTGTCTTTTTCCATTAGGGAGTGAGTACCTGGGAGGAAGAGAAGGTGGATTTTTGTTAATTGAAAAAAAAAGTTTTTAAATAGGAAAAAAATGTTTGTGGCTTTAAAGCAGTGAATAGAAACAGGGAGAAAAATCAGTTACCTAAAATTAAATTTGCCCATACATCTTTTCTCACTGAGAAGATAATTGGGGGCGGGTGCCAGGAAGAGGGACAGGAAGGAACTTGAAAAAAAAAAGGAATTAAAAAAAAAGTCTGACATTATTTACCTGATCAAGAAAAATGTGTCAACCCCAAGGTAGAATGGACCACTTCGAGAAAAGAGGTAGAGGGGATTTTTAAGCACTCTGGTTTTCCATTCAAGCACATTGTCTACAATGATCATAAAAGTACATGTAAGACTACTTTTTCTTAATTTAGTCAATTTTACAATAAAAGATAAACATACACTAAGCATCCATGGCAATTTACTAATAACTAACACTTTAATCTCTTCCATCCCTTGTGATATATTTTAACAAGATCGGTGTGGATACAGGGCAATAAATTCTCTTCTTTTAGCTGCATTATTTTTCTCTAGACTTCCCCATATTTCTATATATTCTTCATATTTTCCCCTTTTGATGCCCATCATTTGGGGAATGGCTGCACAAGTTGTGGTATGTGATTTCAATGGAATACTATCGTGCTATAAGAAATGATGAGTGGGATGTTCTCAGAAAAGCCTGGATAGACTTGCATGAGCCGATGCAAAATGAAATGTACTGTGCACAAAGTAACAACAATATTGTAAGATGATCGGCTGTGAATGTCTTAGATGTTCTCAGCAATACAATAATCCAAGACAATTCAGAAGGACTTATGATGAAAAATGCTATCCATCCCCAGAGAAAGAAATGATGGTGTCTGAATACAGATTGAAGCATTTTTTTTAAACTTTATTTTCTTGAGATTCTTTTTTGGTATATGTTTTCTTTCACAACATGACTATTATGGAAACATTTTGCATGACTACACATACATAACCTATATCAAATTGCTTGCCTTCTCAATGGGGGGGGTGGAGAGGAAGGGAGGGAGAGAATTTGGAACTCAAAGTTTTAAAAATGAATGTTAAAAATTGTTTTATATGTAACTGGGGAAAAATAAAACAGTAAACAAACACATTTTCCCCTCTTAATGGTGATATAGCCTTCATTCAAATTTTTTTTTGTATGTCTGAGCTGTTTCCAGATTTTTTTTTTAGTATTGTAATTAGTACAACCATGACTATCTTTGTACAAATTGGTCTCTTTTTTGCTTCAAATCATTTCTTTGGAATATGTTCTCAGGAATAGAATTTTTTAGTCAAAGGGTCATAAGGAAGGTTGCCAGCCAGATGGTATTTGACCAGCTTGGCCAGCAATTTATCACGGAATCCGGCTGCTTCTCCCTGACAATCCATGTTAATAATGTTCAGTGTTTTATAGTTTTGGTTTTCATAACTCACTCAAAAGCCAGTTTTATGGCTCTTGCTGCATATTGCCAGATTGCTTTCCACAAAGTTGATACTAATTTGCATGGCCACCATCATTATCAATCACTAATGTACCTGTTTCCCCATGGTGACCTCTATAAAAGGTTTCATGATTTTTTATCTATTTTTGCTAAATATGAGTGTGAGGTAATACTTCATACTTGTTTGAAAATGAATTTCTTTCAGAACTATTGAGGTTAAAAATTTCTGCAACTATATATTTTTTTGCTATTGTTTTCCTTGTTTATGAATTGCCTGTTACTTTGGTCCATTGGGGCCTGGATATTACCTGTTCTGTTTTAATGGAAACAAGGTCATCTAATGTTTTGTGGTATGTTTGAAATAAACAAAAATAATGAGTTTCTCTCATGTTTGAAGGTTAAGTACTACTTAGGTCCCCTGGACAGCATGCCACAGTGGATAATGTGTTAGGCTTAGAATCAGAAGAAGTCTGGGGTTCAAATCTTGACTTAGTCACTTGCTGGCTTTTTTTGCCTGGCATCACACATAACTCTATGTGCCTCAGATAACTTCCTGGTTTACCTCGTAAGACATGGGTCAAGTTCTCTAGGGATATTGGATATTAGATCTCAAATGGATATCAGATATAATCTAATTTAGTTCTACTGTTTTAAAGACAAAACAGGGTCAGAGAAGTAATGATTGATACTAGTTGCAAATTAGAAAATGAAGTACCTCACTTTATCTAGGGATTCAAATTTCTTTCATTTTGGCTCAAAATTGTACATCATCCTTGCAAATGTAATTTTTTTTACATGATTTGTCATTAAAATTGTACTGTAATATAAATTCTACTCCTTCGGTTCTCAACAGCTATGCCAGTGGAGCATGAATTCAGGCAAGTCTCATCAAGCTAAAAAGATTTTAAGTACTGATCCAGAAATAGGCTACATGCCTGTTATCTCAAGACTGGCCATACTAAGTTTGAAGAAGCTTATCACCTGAAGGTTGACTATACTCAGTGACAAATATTTTTGGCCACAGTAATTCATGAAGATCGTATACTAAGTCATGGAAAGGATGTTGCCAGCACCAATGGACCTTTTGAATTATTGAAGTAACATTAGCTGACTGAAATAAAGAGTTCTACTTATCCTTAAGGAACATTGAGTTACTTTTAAATTGTGCTAATTTTTGGCCTAAATAGCCATGCCTATGGGTGGTCTGGGAGTTGCAGAAATGTTGAACTTGTTACCGCTGTCCACAAGTAGCCACAAAAGCTCCGGGCCTGAACTAGATTAAAATGTAATTGGGAAAGGTTTAATAAATAAAATACAATATAACAAAGATAATATTAATTTGGGTGTTTTTAAGTCAATATGTGGCCCACAGGGATCCATTTCTATTAGATTTTGATATCACTGGTTTAGACAATGAAGTACCTAGGTATCATTGGCAGGAGGGTCAGAAAAACAAGGCAGATGCTCAGAGCAGAGGCTTAAGGCCACTGAGTGAATAGCAAAATGACTAGTAAAAGTCTCTCTGCTCAACTTTCAATAATAAAATGTAGTACTGACCAAACTCCATCTGTGACTATGTCTAACAGCAAGATGCTCTCCATAATAATAATAATAATAATAATAATAATAATAATAATAATAATAATAATAATAATAATAATAACTCTCCATACCCAGAGACTGCCAGGCGGTCATCTGACTGGTGTGTCCAGAAATGACCCATAAGAGACTCAATACTCGGATGCCACTTAATGTGGAGCAGGCCCCTTCAGGGAGCTTCTGAGTCCAGACAGCATGCATATTCTTCTGCCAGGAAAAACATTTCAGAGTTTGGTCCAAGATTCCTAAGAAGGCTAAACAACAAAAATGGCTTCATGAGGAAGTCTGACCAAGGCAGATCATGTTTTCACCCCAGATGACATCTCTAGTGCTTTTATCAGTTGAACACACACACCAGGAACATTTCTGGTGTTAGCCAAGGAATGAGGACAGGGCCTATAATTTTATTGATGTAGTGATCCCCTAAACAGCTTTTTAAACATTCTTTTTATATTGGTAGGGGGAAGTAAGTTACTGTCTTCAGGGTTGCTTTTTCTTTTTCATTTAACTCAACAAACACTCATTAAGCATCAATTTTGCAGAATACAGAGACAAAAAAAATGAATAACTGTCCTCAAAGCACTTACGTCCAACAAATATATGTTTTGAGTTTTGACTACATACTGAACAACTTTTGCCCGATACTTTGCTAGTTCACAACTGATGAGAATTCTAATGGTTTCAGACAACGATAGCATCTCTAAAAGTTCCTGGTTTGTTTCCAAGAAATAACTTACTTATTATCAAGATCTGGCCAAACTTTTAAAATCACTAAGCTTTTCAAATCAAATATAATTTTATTTGATGAAAATGGAATTGATTTTACCAGAACTCTTATGGTCTGCTCTCAAATATTAACAATTTTCAGCCTCAGTTTCCAAATCTCTATTGTAAAATAGAGATAATAATACTTGCATTACCTACTCCACCAGGTTGCTGGAAGGATCAGATGAGATAATGTATGTAAAGCATTTTTAAAGCACAAGTCCATATCTTCATTATTTTTAGTAGTTCCATGTTGTTGCCTGGTTTCTAGTGGAAGTTGTTCTTCTCACTCAGCCTTTTTTCCCAGGCAGAATCAAGAGGCAATAAAGGCAGCTGCACATGAGCAAGAATTTCTCAATTTGCACCCTGCCTTGATCAGTTTTTTCTCTGGATCCATAGTGAGTGAGGAACCATACAGAACGAGGAAAGAGCTTTAGGTTACTTTAAAATATATTTTTAAAATTTGTATTCATGTCTTTTGTTTTCATATCACCTTCATTCCCAAATATGTCCCTCCCCCTCCCATACTCAGAAAGCTATCCCCTTTAATACAGAATAAAAGAGAAATTTTGTTGTTGTTCAGTTGTTTTCAGTTGCATCTGATTCTTCATGACTCCATTTGGGGTTTTCTTGGCAAAGATATCAGAGTGGTTTGCCATTTCCTTCTCCAGCTCATTTTACAGATGAAGAAACTGAGGCAAACAGGGTTGAGTGACTTGCCCAGGGTTACAAATCTAGAAAGCATCTGAGTCCAGATCTAAATTCAGGAAGATGAGTCTTTCCGACCCCAGGCCCAGCACTCTATCTACTGTGCCACCTTGCTACTGCTAAAAGAGAAATAGAAAAATGGAAAACAAGAAAGCAGTTCTAGAAAACTAACCAAAGCACCAACTTGTGCAGTGCCACACACACATAGCCCCCATCTCTCCAATGAAGGGAGGGAAGGAGGTAAATGGTTTTGTTGCTTCTTGTAAGCCAAGTTTGGTCATTGAGGTATCCATTTTCTTTGTTGTTATTGTTCTTGTTTTTCTTGAGGCTAGAACTTGGTAAGTACAACATACATGTGAGTTGTTACTTAAATCAGGCTTAACCGAAAGCTGAGCTAATCAGAGGATTACAGAAATTAGATCAAGAAAAGACCTTCACCAATCTCTCCACCCAACCAGGTCACATTATAGCTATTTCTGATTCAGTATCTGTGTTGTCTTGTTAGGTCCCTGGTATATGTATACCTTTGCAATCACACACACACACACACACACACACACACACACACACAAATAAACTTATTTCAGTAGAATTTACAGAACCTTTACCCTGTGTATAAAGATAGACATCACAGAATTATCACTTGGAGAATTGCTAGAAGGCAGCTAAGCCCTACTCTGCCCTAGGACTTTACTGGCATAGGATAAAGCTAGGTAATTATTAGAGAAGCAAAGCAGCATCTTTCAACAGTCATGCCCTACAACATTGTGCGGGACTGCATAGCAGGTGGATATATCCATGATAAACAAACTCTGTCTGTGACACAGTGGGAAGAGTGCTGATTTTAAGGTACAAACACCCTGGGTTCAAATTCCCACCTCTGATGCTTACTGTACTCATGTAACCATGGGTAAGTCATTTCATTTCCTTGAGCCTGTGTTTCCTTATTTGTAAAATGAGGGGGTTAGAATAGATGATCTTTAAAGACCCTTCTGAGCATATTGGTGGCACAGTTGATAGAGTGCTAGGCCTGGAATCAGGAAGACCTGAGTTCAAATCTTGCCTCAGACACTTACTAGCTGTGTGACTCTAGGCAAACCACTCAACCCTATTTGCCTCAGTTTCCTCATCTATAAAATGAGCTGGAGATGGAAATGGTAAACCACTCCAGTATCTTTGCCAAGAAAACTCAAAAAAATGGGGTCCCAAAGAGTCACAACTGAAATGACTGAGCAATAAAAGTCCCTTCTAGACTTAAATCAGGGGCCTAGATCTAGAGAGAGTGCTGGGCCTGTAGTTGGGAAGACCTGAGTTCAAATTTGACCTTGGATACTTACTGGCTGTGTGACCCTGGGCAAATTACTTCACCTGTCTATCTCAGTTTCCTCAAATGTAAAATAAAGATAACAGGAGCACCTACTTTCCAGGACACTTGTAAGGATAAAATGAGACATTTGTAAAGTGCTTTATAATCTTAAAAATACTCCATAAATGATGGCTTTTAACCATCCTACAATCCTTTCAAAGGCCTGGCCATATTGGAATATGTGAAAAGAGTCTAAAATTGCATGTGAAAGAATAGTCTTTGGCATGATTTCTCAAGTGAAACCTTGTCTCTAGGTCATATACTGGTACAAGCACATACACACACATATGCGTCATGGTGTCATACGAATACCTACTTTTTCTTCTGCAAGAGGTATTATCACAGGCTCCCGGTAGTGATGGACTACTCTGAGACTCAATCCATCCCATATTTCTTCTTGATCCTTCTCCCGCTCTCTCCGCCAAACTCCCATAAGAGGCCAGACATAAGTCAGCAGATGGCGATTCCCCACGATTTCTTGCCCAGCCCACAGCTGCCACATAGAGAGTACCAGCTGCTGGCAAGGCAATGAACAGCAAACTAATGCACCTGTAGAGAACAAGGACCAGGTTTTCTTCTGCTCACTCCTGCTTTCCCTCCCACCTAGAGCCATTCCTGTCTCCTCAGAAAGGCTTTATTCCTCCCAAATAGTTCAGTTCAAGCTCCTCTTTATTTTTTTATATGGTGCCACAAGGCCTATTCTAAATGATCTGTGCAGTAAGTCCTAAATAACTCTGTTTAAAAAGCCACCTTCTCCAGGAAGCCTTCTCCAATCAGGCTAGTGTTGCATTAGACTTTTCTATACATAATGCACAATTCACACACACACACACACACACACACACACATGTTTAGTTTATATAGTTAGTGCCTCAGCACTAACCCTCAGGGTTATTCAACAAAAGTGTGAAGTAGAAAAATGATGTTTGTCTTCCATAGTGTACCTACTCTCCTTTCTGTGTCTCTTCCCATTTCAGTGTTCATGTCAAGCATCTTCATGTGGCCCTTGCATGTCCAATGCTCACCTTCCAAGCTTTACCCTCATACTATGGAGACAATTGAATTCCTTACTGAAATTTCCTTGTCCTGTGTGTCCATCTATGAAGCCTTCTGAGGTAGTTAGATTGCTAATTTCTGGTGACCTATTTCAGCTGAGGCCCTAGCCACAGGCTCTATGCCTGTCGTTTGAGGACACATATCTAAGTTAGGAGAAGCTGTGTGTCAAACAATACATTTTTCAGCTACCAAGACTCAAAGAAGGATTTCCATTTACCTTGGTGGCAAAAGCAGATACAGACAAAATCACAGATCCTTGAAACTGTGTTTAGTACCAGAGGGGAGGAGTAACAGACAGTCCACTGTACTGTGTGCTCATCAGACCACATCTAGACCATTAAGGCCCAGTGGTGAGTACTATATTTTAAAAGAAGTCATTGACAAACAGTAGTGTGACCAGAGGAAGTTAATCAGAATTATTATTATTTTTTTATTTTTAGGCAATTGGGGTTAAGTGACTTGCCCAGGGGCACACAGCTAGTAAGTGTAACTTCTGTTACAGGGAACCCCTTGTTCCTAACTGTCTCCTCTGAAACTTTCCAATTTCTGTGTAATCCTTTTTCCAGATGGTATCCTTTTAGATATTTGAAGGTAACTATCACTTCCCCCTAAATCTTTTATTTTTCAGGATCAACATTCCCAGTTTCTCATCTGAAATGTGGTGTCAAGTCTTCTTATAATTCTGATTATTGGGGCAGTTGGGTGGCACAGTGGATAGAGCACCGGCCCTGAAGTCAGGAGGACCTGAGTTCAAATCCAGCCTCAGACCAAACACTTGACACTTACTAGCTGTGTGACCCTGGGCAAGTCACTTAACCCCAATTGCCTAAAAAAGAAAAAAAAAGAAAAGAAAATGCCTACAGTCCAGAGCTGGAGTTACTTGTGAGAGCAAGAGCAGGGAGGTCAGTGTCACTGGATCACAGTATGTCTGCTGGAGAGGGGACAGGGTGTAAAATACGAGAAGACTGGAAGGGCTGGATGTGGCCTCTTTATGAAGGTCTTTGAAGGCTGAACAAAGGATTTTATATTTGATTCTGAGCGTGATGGGGAGCCACTAGAGTTTATTGAGTGGGGGGAAGGAAGAGGGGCTGACATAGTCAGACATATGTTTTAGGAAAAATCACTTTGATAATCGAGTGAAGGGTGAATTGAAATGGAGAAAAACTTGAGGCAGGCAGACTCACCAGTAGGCTATTGCAATAGTCCAGGCATGAGGAAATACAGGCTTATACCAGGGTGATAGCAGTGTCAGAGGAGAAACAAGGGTATATTTGGGAGAAGTTACACAGGTAAAATGCACAGGCATTGGTTACAGATTGGATATGGTGGATGAGGGCAAATGAGGATCGAGAATAACAGAGGTAGGATAGTGGTACCCTCAACAGTAATAGGGAAGTTTGGAAGCTGGGAGGGTTTAAAGGGAAAGATAACGGACACATTGAGTTTAAGACATCAATGAGACATTCAGTTTGAGATGTCCAGTGGGCAGTTGGAGATGTGAGTCTGGAGGTCAGCAGAGAGATTAGGACTGGATGAGCAGATCTGAGAATCATCAACATAGAGATAATAATTAAAGAAAACCATGGGAGCTGATGAGTTAATGAAGTGAAATGGTAGAGAGGAAGAAGAGAAGAAAGCCCAGGACAGAGGTCCTAGAGGATACCCACACTTAGTAGGTGTGTCCTACTAAGATTCAGCAAAGGACACTGAGAAGGAACAGTCAGATAAAGAGGAGAAGAACAAGGAGAAAGTAGTGTCCCGAAAACCTAGCGAGGAAAATTTTTAAGGAAAAAGAAGGTGATCCACAGTGTCAAAGGCTTCAGAGAAGTCAAGAAGGATGAAGACTGAGAAAAGCCCAATAAATTTGGCAATTAAGTGTAAAGGGGGCTTGTCTTTGGATTAGAGGTGTAAAACTCTGGGGAAGGCTGAACCAGATTAAAATATAATTAGGACATATTTAACAAAATTTTAAAAAAAAGACAATTCAACATTTGTTGTTCTTCAGTAGACTTATGACCCCATTTGGGGTTTTCTTGGCAAAAACACTGGAGTGGTTTGCCATTTCCTTCTCCAGCTCCTTTTACAGATGAGTGCCTTTTACAGAGCACACAGGATTAAGTGACTTGCCCAGGGTCACACATCTAGTAAGTGTCTGAGGTCAGATTTGAACTCAGTTCTTCCTGACTCCAGGCCCAGTGCTCTATACATTGCACTATTAGCTGCCCGCAATACAACATAGATGTGCTAATTTGTGATTTCTAAGTCAGTATGCCCATTTCTATTTGAGTTTAATATCACTGCTTTATAGCATGCTCAGCTTGCCTAACATAGGGTACCCTGAAGGGCTTGTCCTGGGAGTATTGAGATCTCCAAAGATGGAGGAGCTTTTCCACTACAATCACCTTTGATTGGCTGATTAAACAGGTGGTATCTTTAAAATGGGAGATTGAGACATTCACTTTTTTTCTGATTCTCTGAATCAACTTCTTTCCTACTGCTTCCAGAGGGTGAAAAAATCACAGTTCACCCACAATGGGAGTGCCCTGAACTGAGCAGAAAGAGAGGGTACCATTTCTTCCCTCTCTTCTTTTCAATCCCCATGGATGGTAGTGTTTGTTTTGCTGTGTTTCATCTGCCCTCAATTTCAGGTCCCAACAGTGATCCCCACCAGACCTAGACATTCTAGCAATGGCGACCTTGGAGCTAGGATTCCAGGCAGGATGTTGCAGCCAGCTAGCTTGGCAGGGAAGCCTTGGGAAGCCAGGGTGTCCTGGGCCTGGAGCGCAAGGAGGGTTTTGGATTTGGAACTGGGACTATGTTCTATAAGAACCAAGCTAAGTTGTTTGTATATTTTTTATATCTTTGAAATAAATATTTCTTTGTAAAAGCTGGAACTACTGTTCAGAGGAGTCCCTCTTATACTTGAGGGAAATGCACTACTAGTGGAAGCTGAAGCTATTTGCAGAGTGCCTAGACACCCCCAATCACCTTAAGGGTACCAGAAATCCCCAGAGGAGGATTGAAATGTAACATGCATGGCCTTCAGGCAATAGGGACCAGGGAGGCTAGTTTTACAGTAACCATAGAAACTATATAGTTTCAATTGAATGATGAGGTTGGAAGCCAGACAGTAGAGATTTTAAAAGAGAGTGAGAGGATAGGAAATGGAGGCACCTGTTGTAGAAGATCTTCTCAAGGAGTTTGGCCACAAAAGGGAGGAGAACCATAGGATGATAGCTGGGGGTGGGTGGGGCATGGATAGTTAAAGAGTTTAGGTGTTTGTTGTTGTTTTTTGAAGTGGCGGAAGGATGACACGAAGAGATTAAAAGCAAGTGAGAAGGGGCAGCTAGGTGGCACAGCGGATGGAGCATTGGTCTTGGAGTCAGGAGGACCTGAGTTCAAATTCGGCCTCAGACACTTGACACTTACTTGCTGTGTGACCCTGGGCAAGTCACTTAATCCTAATTGCCTCACCAAAAAGAGGGGGGGAAGCAAGTGAGCGAGTGAGGATAATAGAGACAGCAAATCTGACAGAGAAGACAGGATGGAATGGGAGCACTTGTACATGTGAAGGGATTTCCCCTTAGCAAGGAGAAGGGAATTTCTGATTTGCCCTGAATAAATGAGCAGTTAAGTAGCAGTGCTACTTGAATTCACCTCTGTTAATGCCCAGTACAGTGGTCTTTCTATGCCATTTATTCATTCAAGAAACATTTCTTAAGCACTTGTGATATTGCCTGGGAACTTATAAGGCATCTAACATACATCAATAACTATTCTTTCAGTAACAAAGTCCACAGTACAATGCTATTTGGCACTTGAGAGAAGAAAGGTCATTACTGATAGGTACAATGAAGGAATGCTTCCTGGAGGAGGTGGCATTCAAGTTAGATTCTAAAGGATTTGTAAGAATTCAAAAGGTGGAGTGGGGAGTATATTAAACATTGGTAACAGCTCACATTTATAGAGCGCCCTGTATTTGCTCACGTGAACTCATTTCTCCAAAACAACTCTGTGACATACAGGTAGACATTATAATAATCATTTATAATAATTGTCAAGATATTGGGAGACACCCTGTTTTCCAGAGCTAAGGCCCAGCAAGCAGGCTGTGCCCTGAGTTTGGCATAACAACAATCCTTTGTGCTCCCCCTCTGGATGAATCATGTGATCATTGTATTGCTTTGACCGGCACCAGGTGTTCTCTGAGCTCAAACACCTGATGTATTCATGTTCCAGTCATGAAGTCCTACTGTGAATCAAACTTGTCTCATTGTTACTGTTACCCCTCACTGTCAGGGCTACAGCTCACTGTGTAATCACAGGTATAAGTATTGAGATCTAGTTACACTAAAGTGGGTTCCCCCACAAGAGGCGGGACCCTGGCACATGTATCCTTGCTTGAAAGCTGTTTTTCTCGCTTTAAAATTAAACTTCTGTTTGATTTCTGACTCTCTTGTCTCTAGCCTGCCCTGTTTGGCTCCGGCCATCTGCAGGTTAGAGGCCAGTTCCATCCAGTTGATATTAATTGGCGTCAGGAGTGGGACTGGACACAGAACTGGGCCATTGGACTCTCCAGTACCAGTGGGAATGAACTAGACACCACCAGAGATTTGTTTTTCCGGAGTCCATCCCCACTTTGTCTGGTGGGTCCTCTATCCTTGTTCCTGACTCTCCTGTCTTTAGCCTGCTCTGTTTGGTTCTGGCCATCCACAGGTTACAAGCCAGTTGGGTCCAGCTGACATAATTAATAAGCATAACATCCATTTAACGTCCACCTTACAGGTGAGGAAACTAAGATTTAGACAGATTGACTTGAGTAATTTGCCAATGGTCATGGACCTAGTGAATGTCTGAGGTAGATTTGAGCCCAGGCCTTCTAGTGCTTTAGTTAGCACTAAACTATGCTTCTTCTCAAAAGCACAGAGCTGGAAACATGCAGAGAATTTTATGAGAAATCACAGGACGGTGTGGGGATCTATGAGGTCAAAACTTTTTCCATAATGATACTAAGATTTTCTAATTCATTAGATTTCAATAGATATACCATATACATAAAAAATTAGGATCTTCATTAATTTTTAAGATTGCAAAAGGGTCCCAAAAGTTTAAAAAGGGGCAGGGGACAGTCATTTATCAAGCAGCAACTATGTGCCAGGCACTGTGCTAAGTGCCTTACAAATATCGCATTTGATCCTCACAACAACCCTGGGAGATAGATATTGTTGTTTCCATTTTATAGATCAGGAAACTGGAGCAGAGAGGTTAAGTGGCTTGCCCCCAAGTGTCTGAGTGCCAAAATGGAATTCAGACTGATGCCAGGCCCAGCACTCTAGCTTATTGTACTACATGTTCAGTTGTTTCAGCTGGTGACCCCATTTGGGGTTTTCTTGGCAAAGATAGTGGAGCGGTTTGCCATTTCCTCCTCCAGCTCATTTTACAAATGAGGAACGGAGGCAAACAGGGTGAAGTGACTTGCCCAGGGTTACTCAGCTAATAAGTATCTGAGACCAGATTTGAACTCATGAACATGAGTCTTCCTGATTCCAACCTGGCACTCTATCCCCTGCACCACCTAGCTGCCCCACTATGCTATACAGCCACCTCTTAAAGTGTCTAGTCTAAAGCAGTGACATCAAACTCAGATAGAAATGGAGGCCACTGAATCATATACACAGATCCCTGTGAGCTGCAAGTTGACTTGGAAAACCACATGTTCATATATTTCTTTTTTATTAATACATCACCTCATTAAAATTGGATAGGAACTACATTTTTATCCAGCTGGAACTGCCCTCTGGAATGTTATGGGCTGCCTGAGTCTCTGCAGGCCACATGTTTGACACTTCAGGTCTAATGTATGAAGTACCTGGAGGGGAATAGTATGAAATAAAGATGGGAAAGTAGGGTAGAGCCCAACTCAGAAAGATCTTGATTACCAGACTGGGGAATTTAAATTTTCCAAGCAATAGTGAGCTACAGTTAAGTTTCGAGCAGAAGAGTGAGAAAAACAGCTCTGTAAATGGAAATAACATTGCAGCAATGTGAAAAATGAGCCAGAAGCAGAAATAGTGGAGGCTCAAAGACCTTTAAGACTGCTCAGTTTTCTCATCTGTAAAATGAAGTGGGAGGGGGGAGTTAGGACTAAGATGACCTAGTAAATGTATGTTGAATGCTGAAAGAACAAATAATCTTTAAGATTTCTTCCGACTCAAAGGTTCTTCGATTTTCTACCCTAGTTATATATAAAGTCAGCTCTCCCCTTGGATGAATGAAACTATCTTGGGTCTTTTTTTTTCCTTTACCTTGCTTGGACTAGATTGTGATTTTTCAAAACAAAAGGCATCAATTACCCCAGAATCACCCAATAAATGAGAAGTCATTTCCATTTACGTTAAAGACTGAGAGGCTTATGTCACTGCTCCCCATGAAATATACCTTAATCAGTCAGACCGTGACTTCTATACTCACAGACACAAACCAGCAAATTCATCAAGTGGTAGAAGCCCAGGTGCACATCTGGCAGTGCACCACGTTGAGGAGGTTGAATTTAAAGAGAAGTCTAGAAAGGGGGCTGAAAATGAGACATTCCTGAATTTTAAAATATCTGCCAAAAGAGAAAAAAAATTATTAATAATAATGCTTTCTAGTCTTACAGTACTTTATGCTTTTCTTTTTAAATTAAATTTATTTTATCAATTATCATGCTTTTTTTCTCCTTACCACCTCTATCCTGCTTAAAAAAATAAAGAAAAGAAAAAGAAAACTCATGTGAAAAATAAACAGTTAAGCAAAACAAATCCTTGAATCGACCATGTCCAAAAACATGTGTCTCATTCTGTGTTTTAGTGTATTTCCTCTCCATTAATAAGTAGGCAACATGCATCACCATCATCATTCTGGAATCATGGTCAATAATTCTGAAAAATTGTCTTAGATCATTATCTTGCTGTGAATAGCTAAGCCATCCACAGATGATCATCATACAATGTTGCTGTTACTGTGTACAATGTTCTGCTCTCTTCACTTTGTATCAATTCATGTTAAGTCTTTCCAGGTTTTTCTGAAAGTATCCTGCTTATCATTTCTTACAGCACAATAATATTCCATCATGATCATATACCACAATTTGCTTAGCCATTCCCCAGTTGATGGGCATCCCCTCAGTTTCCAATTCTTTGCCACCACAAAAAGAGCTGCTATAAATATTTTTGTACATATAAGTCCTTTTCCTTTTCCTTTTTTTTTAAATTTCTTTGGGACCTAGTAGTGGAATAGTTGGGTCAAAGGGTATGCACAGTTTTTACAGCACTTTTAAGCATAATTCTAAATTGCTTTGCAGGATAGCTGGAGCAATTCACAACTTCACCAACGGAGCACTAATATATCTCTTTTTCCATAGTTCCTCCAATTTTTGTCATTTTCCTTTTTGTTTTTTTTTTTGGGGGGGGCAACTTTGCCTATCTGATAGGCATGAGGTCTGAGCATCCTCAGAGCTGTTTAAAGCCTTTATGCTTTTCAAAGTGCTAGCTTATCTTCGATCTTATTTAATTCTTACAACTTTTTTTTTTTAATACTTTAAGCATCTACGAATGCATTGGTTTGGGTACCTCCTCTACTGATCCATTGATGATAAGCCCTTGCAGGATTAGGCAGATGGGTGGTGCAATAGATAAGAGTACTGGGCCTGGAATAAGGAAGGCCTGAGTTTAAATCCAGCCTCAGACACTTAATAGCCCTGTGACCTTGGGCACTCCTTTGATAAGAGCACCTAGTTTGCAAGGCTTTTGTCTGGCATATAGGAAGCACTATATAAATGCTTATTTGCTTTCCCTTCATAGATTTAGAGCTGGGTCTAGTACACCTCCTCATTTTACATTCAGCAGCTGAATGTGTTTGTGGTAGTAGGCTTTGGGCTGGATGGAGTCTAGGATGCACATTCTCTCAGCTGCATTTGAATAATGAAACACACAGATCAGCAATGCAATGGTTAACCACATTTTTGTCTTTGAACAACAGCAGAACAGAAAGTAAGACAGAATCCTAAGAAATAGGGATCAGGAAATTAGCTCATTTATCTCTGGAGAAAGAGAACATCACCATTTCTGGTCTCAGCAGCATAAGTAGCTCCCATTACTGTGAATTTGCCCGGTGTGGCTTCCACATAGCTTAGCAACAGTCTTTGTCTTAGCATCTCGGCAATTCTTCCCCTGCCCTTAGGTTCATGCGGACAGTGCCCAGGCCACGCCCTTTCTCACTCTCAGCTTCAGTGCAAAGGCCACCATAGCCCCGGCTTCCCCCTAAGCCTCAGAGTGCTTGTACCACTCTCTTCCCTCTGATTCAGTTTTCATTTCTCTCCTGAGACTTCCTGAGACTTCTCTGCCTCCTTCCTTCAGGATTGGTGAGGTAAGTTCTCGAGGAATTCAGAAGATATAGAATGGGCATTTCCTGTCTTCCAGGAGGCTTGAGTCTCTACCAATATCCAACTGCATACAGATGAGGCAACTCAGACCTAGTGACTTGCTCAAGTTTACATAGGTGGTTGAGGCAATATTTGAAATCAGGTCCTCTGACCCTAGGGGCAGCTAGGTGGCGCTGTGGATAAAGCACTGGGTCTAAAGTGAGGAAGACCTGAGTTCAAATACCACCTTGGACATCTACTTGCTGTATGACCCTAGGCAAGTCACTTTACCCTGTTTGCTTCAGTTTCCTCATTCATAGAAAGAGATGAAGAGGGAAATGGCAAACCACTCCAGTACCTTTGCCAAAGAAACCCCCAAATGGGGTCACAAAGAGTTGGACACAACTGAAAAATGACTAAAAACTAAACACCTCTGACTTTCAGAGCAAGAGTTCTTTCTACTATACCACTCTGATATGAATGTATAAGGATATAGAGACAGGAATCTTCAATTACACTGGCCTAGGGAATTGCATGCAATGTGAGGAAATTTATTCTACCTATTCAGATCCACACCTTCTCTTTTGTTTATATTTTTAGAGAGATGTGTCAAAGGCCAGACTTGAACCTAGTTCTTCTGGACTCTGAGGCTGGCTTTGCATCTGCTATGCTATGCCACCTTTCGTTTTAAAATATATACAAGGGGAAAAAAAATTAAATCCTTATTAAAGACTCTATGTTACGTAATTGATGGTGTGGAAACTTCTTCTACTTGATCTTGCCTGTAATTTATCGTCTTAGAGAAGTATTTGGAGGGCACTGAGAGGTTAATTGACTTTCCCAGGGTCACACAATCAGCATGTATCATGGGCATTACATGAACTCAGGTCATTCTGACTCCGAGACTGTCTCTTTAACCACGTTACCCTTTGATGAAATCTCAGATCCAGACCAAAAAATTATGATGACTGCAAAACCATGCATGAAATTAAAGAACAAAGAGTACCTCTGTAGGCCCAGATTAAATTTCCATTATATTCCATGATTTCAGAAAGCATAACATTTCTCTCATGCTTGAGTCCTCAGTTTCCAAAGAGTACAAGTTAATAGCAGCTTGAAAAGCCTTCATTCTGTTTCATTTGAAAGCCTCTCTGCGTATAACTCATACCCCTACTCTCATTAGCATCACAGCCAGATGCCAAAACAAGTTACAACACAGGCTATCTCAATTATCCCAGGATCCAGCCTCCTACAGAGTTGGCAATAATTTGGAGGTAATTCTCTTAAGGCAAAAATCTGAAGCATTATTGCCCAGGGAGTAGGAGACGGAGCACTGGTTTCTGGACCTGCCCTCTGCTGTTAATAAATTGGATGAACTTAGTCAAAGCATTTAACTTCTGAAACTCAGCAACCCCACCCACAAGTAAGAAAATGATACCCTTTGTCCTTATTCCTAAGAAAATTCCAGGCGGGGTCATTGCAAAATGACTGAGCCATGGAGTTTCCTAATAGTACCAAGCAGTATGACCATGTATGCCTTGTGACTCAGGGAGCAAGCATTGCTAACAAGCCCCTGAGCATCTACAAAAGAAATGGGGAAATGCAGAACAGCTTGGAAAGCTTCTGAGGCCGCCCAGAGGCTCAGATGAGGCCTGCTCTGGGCCCAGGGAGTTTCCTTCAGCCTCCCAAGATTTGGATCAGGAGACCTGGAGGCTAGTCCTGGTTCTACCATTCACCGTCTAAGTTGAAGTAAATCATTTAACTACAGTACTCTGGGCCTCATTCATAAAAATGCAGGACCAAATGATCTCCATTGTCCCTTCTAGATACAAAACCCTATAATTCTCAATAGGATAAGAAAACTGGGGAGAACAGGGGGAACTTAAATCCACCAATACGCAATTTTCAGATAATCCAGCTCCCAGTATGTCTTCCCCTTCTCTGAACTCCTAAAAGCCTCCAATGTTAATTATTTTCTTATGTGTACATTTTGCCCCACTAATTAGATTCAAAATGCCTGGAGGGTAGAGAATGCACTCTTATACTTCTTTTTAATTTTCCTAAGTTCCATGCAAGGCATTTGTACCTAGAGATAGCATTGCCTGGTAGAGTCCTAAGTCAGTCACCTATTGCCTGTGTGACCTTGAACAAATCATCGCATCTCTGATTTTCAGCCTTCTTATCTTTAAACAAAGGCATTGTACTAGAGAATTGTACAGTTGCTAAGAAAACTTGAATGTTACTAAGGTTACAGAATTATATTGGATGGAACTACAGAGGCAATTTCTATCTGTATCTGAGCAAAAATTCCAACAACATCATTCCCAACAAGTGGTCATTTCAGAATCTTGGCTAAGAGACCTCCAAGGAGAGGGAACCCACTGTTGTCCCCACCAGTCACTTCCACTTCTGGGTGACAAATTGGTAGGTAGGCTTTCCTTGCTTCAAGTCTGAATTCGCCTTTTTGCAAACCACCTTTTGCTTCTTCAAGTCTTAATTAACACTCTAGGTGATTATTTTCTCATTGAACTGAACTAGACTGCAAGTAGGTGTCTGCTAAATGAGATCATTATGTAAAGCACTTTGTAACTAGGTCTCTATATAAATCTACATATAAATGTAACTCTATATAAATATAACTTCTTGTGGTGACATTCTTTGACATTTTTAAAATTCCTTAGCCAAAAAATACTACTATACACAAAATCAAGAGATCTAATGAGTTTTTGCTTCAATATTTCGGACAGTAAACATCTCTGAGAGAATGTACAGAGTATGGTCTTGGATTATACCAAGACAGAATCTTTGATTATACCCAGTTACAAACGTGACCAACAAAGGAGACTGAGATAGAAAGGACAGATAGGTTGGAGAAGAACTAAGAGAGTAGTGTTACAAAAGACATAGAGCAGAGCAGGTATGTAGAAGAGAAGGTATTCAATAGTGTCAACAGATTCAGAAAATCAAAAAGGTTGAAGACTGAGGAAAAGGTCAGAAGGAGAAAATTGAAGATTTAGCAATTAAGAAATTGTTGATAACTTCGGGGAGTTTCAGTTGAGTGATAAGGGCAGAAGGTATATTGCAAGGAGTTGGGAAATAAATCAGAGAAGAAATAAATGATTTCAGAAAGATTTTCCCAGGAATTTGGCTAGAGAAAGAGGATAATAGCTCGAAGGGATGATAGATCAAATGAAAGTTTTTGAGGATGGGAGAGATATGGCATTAATAGGCAGCAGAGACTGAATGAAAATTCATTATTTAAATGAATGAAGTTAATTCTTTTTAAGGGATAGTGGGAAAATAGGTGGTACATAGTTTCTCCCAAAGGCAAATGTCAAATGTCAAATGGGATTGTCAGTTAATAAATCACTAGATTTTTCTTTAGAAATTCAGAGCAGTGCATGTTATGTACACTCCCTTGCTCCCTTGTTGATTTATCTGTTTATGTTCAAAGTCTCTGAGTTTTCTTCATCTTGAAATCTTTGGTGCTTTCAGTCTTCCCCCCCTATTTTCCTTATCACTCACTTCCTGACTCCCTCCCCTCAGATTGTGATTTCTTTGTGGGCAGAATCTCAAAGCATCTCAGCCTTCTTCCATACTGGGCAATTCATGGTTCACTGTAGTTCACCTCAGCTGGATCTGTGCTCTTTCTCTCAGGCTTCATGGAGTGTTGTACAGCCCCGGTGTCTTGTCCTGGTGACTTGTCCCACTCTCTCTATTCCTGAGTTTTCTGGCCCAGCGCAGGTAGTTCAAAGACTCTTTTCCCCAGCATTGGCAATTCAGAGATTTGCACTGCTGATGCTTTCAGGCAGCCCCACCACCCTAACTCCCAACCTACTGCCTTTTGCTCCTGGTGGGTGGTGGTGGGTGGTGAGCGCATTGACTGTGAAGACCCAGGAAAATTTCTATAGCTTGGAGCCAGGCTGTCCACAGCGCTGGAAAGAGGGAGGGAGAACTGTGGAATGGGAAATAGTTTTGATGTAAGTCTGTGTCATGTCCTTAGGTCTGCTAGTGCAGCTTCACTCCCAGTAGGATGGGAGGCTGGGGAGGGGTTCTAAGTGAGCTTGGGGTCAATGAGCATCAATGAACCTGGGTTCATTCATTTCTTTTTAAGCTTTCTTTTGGATTTTGGGTGTCCTAGTGGCTTATCTTTGGCACATGATTTCCATTTTTGAGAGGTTTGAGCAGTTATGGGGATTGGAAATAATATCTGCCATTTTTTTCTCACATGACCCAGAAGTCTCTAAACATTTCTTTTTAAAGCAGCCTTCTCTAGAATGGCTTTTTCAAAACCTCCAAATGTTAATTTTCTATTTTCTCTGTTTTGAACAAAATTGAAGCTAAGTGTTATCTGCTTATTATTAGGAACTCATTAATCATAATTCTTTGCATGCAATCATAACTCAAAGAGCAGTGTGCAAAATCAAACACTCTCCCTCCCAAGGGAGGCCTATCCCCTGGTCCAAGAGACATATTCATTTCCATCAGCTGCTTTTCTACTTACGGTATAGAAATGTCTTAGAAGAAATCTAAATTTCACAAATAAATTCAAGACAAATCTGCTGAAATAGTAACTAGACTGTTTTCCTTTCTTTCCCCTACCCCAGCTCCTTAGGGATAGTCATCACACTATGATAGAAATCATATTATGGCCTAGAAAGGGACACTGAGCAAATGAATTTTCTTGGCTTGTTATTTGTTTATTATTTTAATTCTTTTATGTTCAATGTTAAGGGTTTTGTATAAGATTTTTCTCCTTGTTTTATATGCTTATTTATTTTTATTGTTATTAAACTCAAAATAAAAAATAATCTTTAATTTATTTTGTTTTCTTTTTCTTTCTTTCTTTTTTTTTTTGGTTCTTCAAAATAGGTCAAAATGTGTCAGTAATATTATATGCAGGGTGTCCCAGGGTATCTTATTGCAGTTTTAAACTATTTAAGCTATTAAACTTTATTACTTCATGAAGACTTTTAGAATATCCTATATATATTAATACTAGGCTACTAATAAATTCCAAACTCACACTATTATTTAAGGTAACTAGGTGGCTATAGTAGATAGTAGCAGACCTGGAGTCAGGAGAATTGAATTTTAATTGATACTTTTGTGACCCTGGATAAGTCACTCAACCTCAGTTTACCCAGCTATAACACAGGAATAATATAGTCTGCTCTCATAGGGTTGTAGTGATGATCAAATAAAATAATATATGAAAAGCACTTTGAAAATTTAAAGGGATATGTGTGTATATCTACACATATATACATACATATGTATGTAATCTACATATATGTACATATACATATACCTATATACACTTGCCCTTGTTCATATCCTGTGGCTAATCTTACTACCAGCCAGGCCCTTGTTCATATCATGTGGCTAACCTTACTACCAGCCAGACTTGGAAAATCTCCTGAAGAACAAAGTATGAATTTTCTCATGAACAAAGGTTGAGGAGGTATCACCTCATATGAAAATGCTAAGTACAGATGAAATGCCACTAATAATTGCTGATCTTGAAGGTGTGATTTAATATTTTCAAATCTGCATTTCTTTTACCAAGAAAGGTAAAGATTAGTTTATTTTAACAATCACTGGAGTTTGGACCTGGAGGTCCAATTACTCTTCTAACTGATACACATACATTAAAACATATGTAACTTCAACCCTGAAGTCAGAGCTAATTCAAGAGATAGGGCTGGAGGAGACCTCACGGAGTCCAGCTCCCATGTATAAATAGCTAAAAAGGCTGATGTTGGTGACTGTCTCCAGACCTCAAACTTAGCTGGGGGCAAATAGGGATAGAAGGCAGCTGTCTTCACTCTGATACCACCATACTCCAGTGCTTTCCATAGTCCTAGTGGTGTAGGATGGCCTTCAGGAGTTGTGAATATGGACATCTGGCCATTTGCACATGAGTATGTTTATCTGTGTGCTTATCTAACAGGGGAGCTTTTCCATTTGGGCCATATTGTAGAAACACTCCAAGTATGATGTGTCAAAAATAGACAACATATAAAGTAGCTGAAGGAAAGGTGACAAACCCAATTAGAACAGAGCAGATTTACAACAAGCTTTGTGATTAAATTTGTAAGAATAGCAGCCAGTCGCCAGTTGATTGATGGTCAAAGGATATGAAGAGGAGATTCTCAAGGGGAGAAATCCAAACTATTTAATGCCAAATGAAGAAAATGTTCCAAATCACTAATAATTAGATAAAAGCAAATTAAAGCAACTCTGAGATTCTTTCTTATACCCATTAGATTGGCAAAATTGACAAAAATGGAAAATGACAAATGCTGAAGGGGCTATGGGAATATAAGCACACTAATACACTATTGGTAGAGCTGTGAAATGGTCCAGCCATTCTGGAAAGCAATTTGCAACTATGCCCCCCCAAAAGCTACTAAACTAAATCCAGCTACTACTATCTCATAGAGTCAAAGAAAGAGGGAAAGGACCTGTATTTATAGCAGCTCTTTTTATAATGGAAAAGAATTAAAAACTAAGGAGGGTGGTGGGTATCCATCACTTGAGAAATGGCCAAACAAATCATGGTATATGAATGTAATGTAGTGCTATAGTGCTGTAAAAAATGATTAAGGGGACAGTTGCAGAAAAAGTTGGGAAGACTTGTCTGAACAGATGCAGAGTGAAGTGAGCAGAACCAGGAGAACAATTTATATTATAACAATGATAGTGTAAACAGGAACAATTTTGAATGACTAAATAACTCTGATGAATGCAACAATCAAGTATTATTCCAGAGAACTAATGATGAAGCATGCTGACAGAGAGGCAATAGACTCAGGATGTAGAATGAGACACACATTTTTGGACATGGCCAATATGGTAATTTGCTATGCACTATGCATTTTTTAAAAAGGTTTTCTTTTTTTCTCCACTGAAGGAATTGTGGGGTAGGGCTGGAGGGGAGTAGGGGGAATATCTTTTTAAAATTGTTTTTGAGAGGCAATTAGGGTTAAGTGACTTGCCCAGGGTCACACAGCTAGTGAGTGTTAAGTGTCTAAGGCCAGATTTGAACTCAGGCCCTCCTGACTCCAGGGCTGGTTCTCTATTCACTGTGCCACCTAGCTGCTCTGGGAATAGGGGGAATAAGAGAAGGAGAATAAGAAAATACAAATGCATGATAATTGAAAAAAAATTTTTAATTTAAAAAATAAATAAAAGCTGTGTGATCCTGGACAAATTATCCAACCTCCCTGAGCCTCTGTCTCTTTATCAATAAAATGAGGATAGTGGGACCAAGGTTGTCTTGAGGAAAGTACTTTGTAACCCTAAAAGTACTATATAAAGGCGGGTTACTGCATTATTTATCTTCTGACTCTTTTCACTTGTCCTTCCTTCTCAACCCACATAGCTCTGCACCGCTTAATTCCTGAAGGACTAATTCATTATTGAAGAAATTGTCTCTCTTCACTCCAGGAAATTGAAAAGCATAAAATTTTATACTCAGAACCCCCAATGTCTATAAATCAATATGTATTATTTTTTGTCTTACCTAATTGTGTCATCAAAGCTATATCCTCTTCAGTGCAGGAGTCAGGAACACACAAGCCAATACTGTAGCCAATGCCACCCTGGGAAACATTATGTTGAAAACCTTGAGTCCAAATGGTCACAAGGACATATGTAATATTTTCTTAGTAATTCTATAGCTGATCAATTATAAATCAATTAGGTTGGATAAAGTCCTTCAAGATTGGACAATCTCAATACATCCAACTCTCAATTTTCTGACAGGGGCGAGTAGCAGATCTTGTTCTCAACTATTTCTTGTTGATTTTCTCACTCTGCTTTTTCCAGCTGTCATCATTACCAACAGTGTTTTAACATTGCTCCTGTATACAGCCTGAAGTCTAGCAAGGCCTGGATAAAAAGCCCACCCCACCTCTTTTTTAACATTTTGTTTTATTTGTATTGATAACTTTTATTTTTATATAATATTCTTTTGCAAATACAGCTTTCTCTCTTTACTATCCAGCAAACTACCTCTTGTAACAAAGATTTAAAAGAAAGATTTTAAAAAGCAGCTCAGCCAAACCAACCACCACATTAGCTATACATGACAGTATCTAAAATATTCTACATCTGTTGTCTTCCCAGGGGGGAGGTGAATTTTATCAACTCCTCTCTAGGTCCAATCTTGGCCAATATAATTACACGGCATTCAGTTTCATTGGTGGTGGTGGTGGTGGTGGTGGCAGCGGCATTTTTTCTGTTTACATTAGTAATTCGGTGCTCATATTGATTTGCATAAGACTCTTATTATTGGTAGAAATTGATTACTCAATTCCTCATGCCTGTATGAGGAATAGAGTTGGGGAAAGCTTGAGATAAATGAGAGGTTTGTTGGTCTTCTGGCTTTCAGCAGCAAAAGAGAAAATGTGCAAATCCAGATTTTTTTTTGGGGGGGGGATAGAGTCCTGAAGGGAAAGAAAGCTATGGAAAGAAGCCAGCATGTGGAACAGCCAGCTTTTTGATCATGTCCCTATCCCCAGCTTACCACAATAGAGACTTTGGGCAATTTCCTCTTGCATAAGACCTGAAACTCTTACTCTTGAGCTGAGATACTTTGCATCCAGTGGGAGAGCTTTTACTCTGTGTATTGTCACAGAGGTGGGGAACCTTTGGCCTTGAGACCACATGTGGCCCTCTAGGTCCCAGGTGCAGTCTATGAAGTTTGGATTCAGTCAAAAGGCTGCACTTGAGGACCTAGAGGGCCACACATGGCCTTGGGGCCACAGGTTTCCCATCCTTGAAACTCTAGTACATTCTTACCTATGTAAATTGCTTAACTTTTTTGTTTGCTATCAACTGGGATAAATGAGTTTATTTGCTATTCGTATAGTCATTGTATAAGTAAAATTTGGTGGGAAGGGAGCTAAGCCTTAGATATATAGTTTAGGTACTCTTTCCTTGTTAAGAGATAGAAATCAGGTGGCAGCTAGGTGGCAGCTAGGTGGCGCAGTGGATAGAGCACTGGCCCTAGAGTCAGGACGACCTGAGATCAAATATGGCCTCAGTACGAACACTACGCACTTACTAGTTGTGTGACCCTGGGCAAGTCACTTAACTCCAATTCCTCACGGAAAAAAAAAGAGAGATAGTAATCCGGAGGGCAGCTCGACCCTAAAAATTCTTTTCCCCAGATAATACAGGGTGACCCAAAAGTCTTAATGTAGGTTTTAAGCTATTAATCAATCAATAAACATTTATCAAATACTTACTATATTCCAGGCACTGCACCAAGCACCAGAAATTGCAAAAAGAGGCAAAAGATAATCCCTGCCCTCAAGGAGCTTACAAACAAAATATATACAAAGTAAGCTATATACAGGATAAATAGGAAATAATTAATAGAGGGAAGACACTAGAATTGTGGGGTTAGAGAAGGCAAGCCAGGGAGGAGTAAAAGTGGGAGAGCATTTCAAGCATGGGGGACAACCAGAAAAAAATGCCCATAGTCAAGCTTGGAGTTTCTTGTTCAAGGAACAGCCAGGCGACCATTGTCATTGAATCGAAGAATATGTGTTGGGGAGTAAGGTATAAGAAGACTGGAAAGGTAGGAGAGGGCTGGTTTTTTAAGGGCTTTGAATGCCAAAGAAAGTGTTTTGTCTTTGATTCTGAAAGCAATATTAATTCTTAAAACCTCACTAAGACTTCTGGGATGGTGTATTGAGGGAGAGGCAAGTAAATAGAATTCTATTTGTTACCTCCCTCTGAGGAGAGCAGAGTGGCCCCATTCCTGGTGGAGACTTGAGATGACATTCATGCCTCCCTGTGAGCCACATATAGATGGATACATGAGCACATACATAACCTCCATGGGCAGTGCGCATATGCGCATACACACACATACACACACACACACACACACACACACACACACACACCCCGTTACATATTGCTGTAGTCACTGTGTATATTTTTCTGGTTCTGCTTACTTAACTCTGCATCAGTTCATATAAGTCAATAGTATGTTACTGTGACAATACACAGAGTGAAAGCTCTCCCACTGGATGCAAAGTATCTCAGCTCAAGAGTGAGAGTTTCAGGTCTTAGGGCTTTTTAAAACAAAATACTTAAAAACATTTAATCCACGATCACTATGGAGGTATAAATCATGAAAAAAAAATCCAATCTAAGATCTTACTTAACTCTACTTTCATCATTCTTGAGATGATACTTTCTGAATGCTGTAGTGGGATAATGGCATAATGGGAATTATGCTAAGAGATGGAGGACATAGGGTGAGAGGCAGAAAGCTAGATGTGTTTCCTGATTCCTCCTGAATCAGGTCTTTTCATGAAGTGTAACTTCATCATTTACTTTGGAGTATCCAGAAATATCAGGTACCTCTATGTTTAAACAGAAGCAAAAAACCCCTGGCAAAAGCTTGAAATTTTTCTGTTCTTTTGGTTTGGGAGGAACTGCACCTGTGACTTTCTCCATGAATACAGATGACTATGATGCAACTGCTCTCCATATTTTGTATCAGCAATTTAATGTAAAAAATGTATCAACTACAGGTTTTATTAATATCCTAGGCTAATAAATGGAATGTCACTCCTGAGGAGGAATATATAACATCACAAATTAAAACCTCCGGCATGTTTTTGTCAAACCCAGAATTTGTGACCATTTTGCTTTTGATTCAAATTTATTAATCTGTTTCAAAATGTAAGAAAAGAAATTTGTATGCACTGATTAAAAACAATAAATCATCACCATCATCACCATTGCCCAACAGGGCCTCAGCTACAAACATAATGATGAAGATAATCTTCTTTGTCCATTCTCTTAAATAATATGAATCAGTTTGATAGTACTAGGGTGTGGCATATGTTGAAGAACTCACTTTTCTTATTGCTATTTTTATTTAATATTTGGTCTCCAAGAAATGTGACTTTCTTTTAGCCATTTGTAATGTTAATTTTTTTTGAGCTTAAAGAGAAAGTAAACCTTCTACAGCTTGTCAAAACAGAAAGGAAGTTATATGACTTCAAAATAGAAAGGTCCTTTATATTTTATCATTATTGATTACAGACTTAGAAATGGAAGGGGCGTTGAAGGTCGTCTAATACAGCACTCCCATTTTACTGATGAGGAAACTGCAGCCCAGAAAAGATAGAAGACTTGCCCGAGATCACATAGGTAGTAAAGTAAATAACAGAGCTGGGATTCAAAAATCACTTCCTCTAATACCAAATCCATTGTTGTTTTTCTCCATTTAATCTTACTGTAAATTATCACAATCATGCTATTATATTCTTGAGTCCAGTCTTCCAGATCAGCCCTAGCTTTGTGCTTCTGACCCTCTTTTCTTTTTTCTTTTCTTTTCTTTTCTTTCTTTAGGCAATTGGGGTTAAGTGCCTTGCCCAGGGTCACATAGCTAGTAAGTATTAAGTGTTGGTCTGAGACCGAATTTGAACTCAGGTCCTCCTGACTTCAGGGCCAGTGTTCTATCCACTTTGCCACCTAGCTGCCCCCGGACCCTCTTTTCCAGGAAAGGAATTGTTGGTATTGGGAAATCCAAATCTTACTTTAAAATCTCTAATAGTGGAAAGGAGAAAAAGCCGAAGACCTGGCAAAAGTGGCAAACATATGTTTATATTATGATTTCCATAGCCCTAAGCAACCTTTGGTTGCCCATTTATCTCCATTCAGCTTGGAGTGTTGACATAGTCCCTGGAAGCATAGAGAACAAGCATGGGTTCACTTTGGAAGGGTTGTGGAGATTCTCAAAGAGCCACTTCAGTGGTGAGTAGATCCTAATTAGTCTTTATGGCTCAGTAAGGTTCACTCAAACTGTATGTTGGATAGAAAAGAAAAACTGGAATATTGGCCATATTGTTCATTCTCCCATCTCCCTGTGACTGTAGGGAATTGGTGGCTGATTCACTTGCAAGAACCTTTGTCCTCACACAGACCTGAGATTCTTACAGCTGAGGAATCAATTCTCCCCAATCCTAGTGAACTCTAACTGTGGATAACAACATCTTACAGACAAGACCAGCAGTCCTATAAGTCATGTGGCCCACTCAGGCAGTTCTGAAGGGAGTGTGTTAGGAGGAACCTTCCAAGGCCTGTATTGTTGGTGGAAGGAGAACTTCTTGCAGTGATTTGGAATCTGAATTTGCTGATGTTGTTCAGTCATTTCAGTCACATCCAACTCTTTGTGACTCCATGTGAGGTTTTCTTGGGCAAAGATACTTAAGAGTTTTACCATTTCCTTCTCCAGCTCATTTTACAGATGAGGAAACTGAGGCAAAAAGGATTAAATGACTTGCCCAAGGTCACAAAGCTAGTAAGTGTCTTGAGGCCAGATTTGGACTCGTGAAGATGAGCCTTCCTGACTCCAGGCCTGGTGCTCTATCCACTACGCCACTGAGATGCCACTAAGTGTTTGTTTTTGTTTGTTGTTTGTTGTTTGTTGTTTGTCCTTCGTTCTCCAAGAGGACCAATGACATCAGGAGGGGGATGTCTTGACTTGCGAGGGCTTTGGATTTAAGTGAGGCAAGAGCTGTGCAGAGTCATCAGCCTCACTCTCTCCTCCAGTGTCATCAGAGTCCAGTGGCAAGACACAGGTCAAGATGACTGGCAATGGCCCAGCAGGAGTCTGAACATACAGGCTCAAGTACCTCCTTGCTTACTCACTCCTTGTGTGACCTTAGGTTAATCTAATTGACTTCTCTGAGCCCCAGTTTCCTCAGCTGTAAAATGGAAGAGGAGTGGAGGGAGACTCTAAAGGCCTTTTCAGATCTAAGTGATACTGTCATCCCAAGTAGGGTTTTGTTTTGGTTTTTTGTTATTTGACGCTCTGAATTAAGAGAATGCTCAACAAAGAACACAACTGGGGACATTCCTAAGCTTTAGCCAATGTGCAAAAAGTTCTTATACACTAGAAGAGCATCTAAGCATTTTTTCAAAGATAGATTAAATGTGAAAAGTTGTGTGGCCATGGGCACTTGGCTTCCTGAGTCTCCGCTTTTTCATTTACAAAATTGAGATGATCATATGTGCACTACCCAACTTACAGGCTTGTTGAGAGGGACGCATTTCGTAAATATAAATGTAAGCTATTTCATGTAACTTATCAAATACATTTCATTATCCTAATGCTGGTCAGTCTCATAAAAAAGAGGCCTTTTGTAAAAGAGATAGTCTTTATCACAGGGGAATTCACAAGAGGCAGCAGTTTGATATAAGATTTTTAGGGAATGGAAGTTCTAATTGAAGCCCTATTATGCCTCACAATCCTCAATTTATCCATTTGAGAAATGGGAATACTACTTTAGATCCACTTTTTGGGTGTATTTAATTGGATGACAATGGCAAATCACTTCCCAAAATTTTAAATGTTTAAGAGATAACAATCAAACAAAAGCGAGATCGTACATTTTAAAGTGCTTTTTGTCCTTCGAGAAGAACTCTACATAATCCCAAGGAATTATTCTTAAACCCATGTTAGTCTTTTGAAAGAAGTTGATTTTCATAGGAGAAGGAACCAGTGGGATGGCAGTGAATTACAATTATGTGCCAGGACCGCACACAGAGAAATAAATGGAGTAACCAACCTGCTGTATCTGAAGCTTGCAGTATTGCCCATGGAAATGCTCCCTAGGAGATGTGGCAGAGAGGCATTCGCTGTAAGATCCCAGTCTGTCCACATTCCCATTCAGGATGTTGCTACCCAGCTTCCCAGTGGCATCATACACTAAGGATTAAGAACACAAGCTCTCATGTAAAAAGGCTGAGCGTGGGAATCTCAGACTTCAGGAAGGGGCAGCTGATCTGTCCTTCTTCTGCTTAGGAACAGTATCTGACCAGGAAAAAACACATACTATTTTGTACAGACATCCTCCATTTTCTTCAGTGGATAATAAATAAATTAGATAGATAGATACATAGATAGACAGACAGACAGACAGACAGACAGACAGACAGACAGACAGATAGATAGATAGATAGATAGATAGATAGGTAGATAGATAGATAGACAGACAGACAGATAGAGAGATAGACAGACAGACAGACAGACAGATAGAGAGATAGACAGACAGACAGACAGACAGACAGACAGATAGATAGATACATACATACATACATAGATACATAGATAGACAGACAGACAGATAGATAGATAGATACATAGATACATAGACAGACAGACAGACAGACAGACAGACAGACAGACAGACAGATAGATAGATAGATATAGATAGATAGATACATAGATACATAGATACATAGATACATAGATAGACAGACAGACAGACAGACAGATAGATAGATTCCCAACTGGTGTTTTTTTAAACAAGTAGTTTCTCACTTTAATTTTTGTTAACAACAACATTATGGGAAGTAAAAAATTGTAGCTTAAATCAAACTTTAAAAAGAAGAAGACTAATATATATGCTTAAATGGAATTTTAGGAACTACCTAGTTCAACTACTTGTCCAACAAGTAACAATAACAACAATAATAATGGCTAGCATTTCTATATTATTTTAAAGTTTATGAAGTACTTTACAAATATTACCTCATTTGATCCTCACAACAACTCTGTGAGGTAGATGTTATTATCATCCCCATTTTACAGAGGAAGAAACTGAGGCAGACAGGGGCTAAGTGACTTGCCCTGGGTCACGCAGCCAAAAAGTGTCAGAAATCAGATCTGACCTCAGGCCTTCCTGGCTCCAGTGCTCTTTCTACCAGCTGCCTATGGAAGCACTTGGCTGCTTCATTGTATGGTTGAATGATTCATCTGGTGGAGTAAGAATGAGGCCCCCAAATGCCAGGCTTTCAATCTAGTCCTGCTCCCACTCTACCTCTTGTTGTCGTTGTTCAGTTGTTTTCAGTTGTGTCTGACTCTTTGTGACCCCTTTTAGGGTATTTTTGGCAAAGATACCAGGTGGCCTAACAACACTTTTTGGGGGGCTGTGGAAAGGAACTAGAAGTTATTCAGCATTTTTTCAGTCATGTCCTTCGTGACCTCACTTAAGGGGTTCTTGACAAAGATGCTGGGAGTGGACAGGGTATTCAGGGAGGACCAGCACCTCGGGTAGGAGGGCTTGCTGAGCAGGGCCGCTTATCCCCCTTTGGTGTCTCCTTGGCACTTAGCTCTCACCTATGGCTCCAAGAAGCTGTAGCACGCACAGCAGCCACACCCCAGCAGACAGGCTAAACCAGGTTGAGGGTAACTGACAGGCCACAAACCCTTCAGTGAGTTGGAAAGGGTGTCTACCCCAAGCATGTGAAGACTTCCCTCAGCAGAATGGGTGGAGGGGAACAATTTGTTCCAACAGCCGTAAAGGCGGCTGAAGCAGCACTGGGGAGCCCTTAGAGTCTGGTCAGACATCAAAGACACCGAGGTCATCCACTACATCCCAAGCCCTCACCAGTCGTCTTGACTTTCATCTTACCACTGGACTCTGACTCTGAGAGAGAGAATGAGCTACTTTGTGCAATTCTGCCTCACTTAAATACAACTCACCCAAGAGTCAAGACATCACCCTGTGATGTTGTTATACCTCTTGGAAAAGGAAGGACAAACAACAACTGGAGTGGTTTGCCATTTCCCTCTGTAGCAAACTTTAAAAACGAGGAAACTGAGGCAAACAGGGTTAAGTGACTTGCCCAGGGTCACACAGCTAGTAAGTGTCTGAGGCCAGATTTGAACTCAGGAAGATGAGACTTCTTGACTCCAGACCCTATTCACTGTGCCACCTAGCTGCCATAATGCCATGTTGAATGTAGAATCACTTCAGGAAGAGACTGAATTTTTCTGGGAGGCTATTCTCATAGTCTTCATATATTTCCTCCAGATTGTATTGTGATCCATTTTTGTGTGGTACAAAGAGTCCTAGGGAGCAGAAATCAAGAGCTGTAAGTTCTGATCCCAGCTCAACCACAAAAGAGACACAGACCTCTCCCATGGTCCATTTCTTCATCTGGCAAATGAAGGATGTGTTTCGACTACAGCCTCTAATGTTTTAAAAGGCTATGCTTCTACAATGTTACTAATTTAGACGAAGTGACAGAGAAGAGCACATTGGAAAGACTTGTGGATTTGCAGTCAAAATACTTCAGTTCAAACTTTGATTTACGTATTTATTGTCTGTGTGAATTTGGTCAAGTCCCTTACTTCTCTGGGCCTCAATTTCCTCATCTATAAAACAAGGGGAGAGGATTATATACCTTTAAGGTATTTCCAGCTCTAATCTATAATCCTATAAGCTTGTGCAAGAAGCTTGGTGGCACAGTGGATAGAGCACTAGGCCTGGAGCGAAGAAAACCTGAGTTCAAATCTAGCCTAGCTGTGTGACGCTGGGCAAATTACTTACTCCTGTTTGCCTCAGTTTCCTCATCTGTAAAATGAGCTGAAAAAGGAAATGGCAAACCACTCTGTATCTTTGCCAAGAACACCCCAGATGGAGTCGTGAAGAGTCAGACATGACTGAAACAACTGAACAACAGCGAAGTTTGTACTCCAAGTGCCTGATAAGGAAGTCTGTGGCAGCTGGCTCAGTGCAGTCTTAACAGACAGGCTCTGATCTCTGAAGGATCTGGGACTACAGTAAATCTAGAGAGATACTGTGCCATTTCATAAGCTTCAGACCCCTTTTTAATTAATAATCTTTCACTGAGTGAGAGAATTAAAAAATTTAAGCTTTTAAACTAATCAAAGCACAAAAGCCTAAATAATTGGTTATAAAATGGTATCTCATATATGGTAATTCACCACTTACGCTTTGGGCACTAAACCATGTTTTCACAGGATCATAGAATCTTAGGTTTAAAGCTGGAAGGGGCCTCAGAGACCACTGAGAATACCTCCCCCTTTATCTTACAGATGAGGAAACTGAGGTTCAGAGAGGTAAAATAACTTCTGCAAAGTCACACAGGTAGTAAGTGACTCTAAATTTAGTGTCCTTTCCACTGTGTCAGGCTGTTAGAGTTGCAACTTCAGAACTGAGCTCCTAGAGCTCTCTAGAAAGTTTAAGTGGAATCTTTTCTTTTCATAGGAAATCACCTTGAAGTGACTTAAGGTATTATTGGTTACTGATTGTGGGAGTGTTTTGTTTTGTTTTTCAGGAAGCCCTATGAGCCACCATTTGGAAAATATCATCAGACCTTGGTCAGGTCTGGTAACCAAATCATTGGTGCCAACAGACTCCTCTTCTTTTGGCTAGCTCTGTTGTTCAGGGGTGGAGGAAAACAACCAGTGGGAGTGAGTTAACATTGGCCTTTTGGAAAGAGGTTTGTACTGTTCCAGGTTGTTATCATGTGATGGGAAGAACTGCCCACCCCATCCTCCTCCACACACGTTGGCCTCTGCACTCAGAAGTCTTCAGCTAGAAGCTGGCTCACTCATTTGCATGTGCCCTCCCTCTAGCTACGAGGCTGAACTTGCAGAAAGGTTCAGTTGAATACCCAAATTCAAATCCCATGAGAAAACATTGCCACGTCTCACCACTGTGACTCATCAGAACATAAATTTATAATCAGAAGGGACCTCAGAAGTCCTTGAGTCCAACTATGTCATTTTACAGATGAAGAAATTAAAGCCCAGAGAGGACTTTAAAAAAAAGTGAGGGTCAACTAGAGCGAGGAAGGAAGGGAATAAGCATTTTTATATAGTACCTTCTACGTGCTTTGTAAATATTATGTCATCTTCACAACAAACCTGCAAGGTAGGTAAGTATTATCTCCATTTTACAGTTGAGGAAACAGGCAAACAGAGGTAAGTGACTTGACCAGGGTCACACAGCTAATAAGTGTCTGAGGCCAGATTTGAACTCGGGTTTTCTTGACTGTAGACCCTGCACACTATCCACTGAACCATCTAGCTGCCTCAGGAAGGGTCTGAGGTAACATTTCAATCCAGGTCTCTCAGTCTCCACTGATTCTCATTCCCCATCTCGGTGGAGCCTGGAGTTCAGAATTAGAAGCAATCTCAGAGATTATTTAGGCAGTAGTGTCAAAGTCAAATAGAAATGGAACCCTGCAGGCCATACATATTGACTTGGAAAACCACAAATTATCAATTATCTGTTTTACTTACTGCGTTTTTATTTATTTTGTTAACCGTTTCCCAATTACATTTTAATCTGGTTTGGGTTGTACTGGAGATTTTTGCTGGCAACAAATTCCACTCTAGTGGAATCCTTTCATATGGATGACAAGGGTCGTTTTGAAGTCCAAAGTGACTTTTCTAGGTCCACAGAGGTAATGAGATAGCAGAGCTGGAATTCAAAACAGGTGTCCCGATTCCAAATTCTGTGTGTTGTCACTAAATCATGAAACTCCATTTCCTGTGTCAAGTGCACGGCTTATTACTGGTTGTTGGGTGTTTTGGGGGTTTTTTGAGGGTTTGCCAAATGATGTAATTCTGAGTACCACAGGGAGGTTTGCTTTATATTCGTTTCCTTTCCTATTATAGACTCCCTAGAGCAAATTGCCCTTTTCTAGTTATCTCTTTAATATGCTTTTATTGTGGCCACAAGAGACCTAGAGGCACTTCTGCATTAAAATGTATTATGATGATGAAGATGAAGAGGAGGAAAAAGAAAAGTGATGATTAGAGGTACCTGCTATTTAAAGTAACATTGTGCTCATTGCAAGTTTTCATTTCCCGAAGATTAAAAACAATTCATTTCAATTATGTTGGACTAATGGCAGCCACATTTCCTTTTCCAAGTAGAAATGTGCAGA